TCTGCCAGTTCCTGGAGTGGAGGGAGGGAACATCCCTGGAAAGCCCTAGAGACGAATCCCAGAGGATGTTGGGTCCTTAGAGGTCTTCGCTGGGCAGACCAGTGGCCCCATGTGTATGCACACAGAGCTCTGCACTCTTTAACAGGCTGCCCCTTTGATCCAAGACAGGCCTGCTACTTCTGCCCACCCAATTTGGGGTACCAGGTAAGTCTCAGGAAGGAAGTATCTGGAAGGGTTGGCATGGCCAGGACAGAGAATGAGGGAGGTCTATGCCAGAAAATACAGGTGCTCCTGGATCACTCAGCTCCTTTCCCACAGCCGAGGGAAGCAGAGAGGACGCCTCTGTCTCCTCGCCCACCTGGGCCCAGCTCCAGCCTACATGGTTGGGAAAAGGGGGCCTAAGGTATAAAAGGCAGGAAAGAAAACTTCTCAGAACAGGTTGAAGGGAGCAGCCATGCCACACCCCAGTGTGTGGGAACCTGTGGCACCTGCCTACAGATTAGCGCTGTGGCAGGCAGGGCAGGGCCTTGGGGAGCAGGTTTGTCTGCCACAACTGAGGAGCCTTTGTGTTTTGTTGCTGAGCTGGGGCTTTTGCAGGTCTGTGACGATAGGGGGGAGGGGGGCCCAATGCCTGCCTCCCTGGCTCAGCACTTTTGAAAAGCCAGATCACCCAAGCTGCCCAAGCTGAGCTTTCCTGGGGAAACTGAGGCACCTGAGCACAAGCCCCAGGAGTCTGTATCCCAGACCCTAGACTCGGGTGGTCAGGAGAATATAGGCAGTGCTAGACCAGGAAAAAAGGCAAATAGTTCAACCCCTCTGGACTTGGTAAGTGACGGCTTGTGTGGCCCATTGGCTCCAATGTGCTCCCATGCCAGTGGACCCAGTCCCCACATTCCCAGGAAGGGAGGGAAGCAGAGTGCTTTCTGTAGAGCAGCCCATAATGCTTGAGGAACCAGAGATCAGCAACAGGATTCTCTAAGTCCTGGGCTCTGAGCATCAGGTGACACAGGCAGTGCAGCCCCAAACCAAATCTGCTCCAGCCTTCTCCCATGAGGCGTGTGTTCTGTTAGGTGTCGGGACCTGGCCTGCACACATGTGCCAGGAAACAGCAAACAAAGGGTTATAGGTGCTTGTTTAGGCGGCTGACATAGAAGTAGAAGCATTTGTTGAGGAGCAAGGGATGAGAACCACAAGCGTGTCCCAGAAGAGGGGGACTTCGTAGCCCCAATACAGCATGCAGGGTGGCGTGGGTGCTCAGTAAATATTTGTTGGTTACACAAAGAGAAGTCTGCAGCTTCATGGATGAAAGATAATTGGCGACAGTGATGGTGATGGTGACGGTGATGATAACAACCTTTATTGAGCATGTAACTTGTGCTAAGTGATGTTTCCTCAGTTTCCCTTGGACTCCTTAATTTAAGCATGCAGCATTTTTATAGGCAAGTATTTATTTGTTAGAAACCCCATTACGCTGATGCTCAGACCAAATGGAGCCCCAGATGAGTTAAGTCACTGACCCTCAGTTAGACAGCCGAGAGATGCAAAGGTGACACCGACCCACGCCGCCAGCTCGTCACAGTCCCACTGTGCCCCTTCAGAGTGGGGAAGCCACCAGCACCAGTTTCCTGACTGTCAGAGCTGAGACACTGGTACAGTTTAGACAGATAAGCGTGTGAGGCTCCTTCCTGCCACCTCCCTGGGCAGGCTTCCCTCTCTCCTGAGCCTCCTCCCGGGCCTTCCAGATGAGGCCCAGGATTCCTGCCACAACCAGCCCCCCACGCTCCCTCTTCAGGGGTGAATGCTGCTCCCCTCAGAAGGCCTCCCACTCTGTTCAGTATAAGAACCAGGGACATCACCTCCAACCTGTATCCTTGGACCAAGACAGGAAACCCCTGCTAGAAGCTTGGGTCTCAGGCACAGATCCTGGAGTGAGGCAGAGGAGAGCTGGTAAAGGAAGTTTCCAACTTGGCCCAGCCCCTGCCAATTCCAGGACTCTGGGACACCCCACCCCACCCCCTCACCACCACCACCCCCCCACACACACACTGCTGCAATGTTCCAAGAGCCCCAGGCCTTGCACACGGTGAGCTGTATCAGAGGCAGAGAGCAAAAGTGAGTGCGCCTGTTCCTTGGGGTCCCGCCTGTCCCACCCCACCTTGCCCAACACAGGGTCAGAAGGGTCCAGGGGTACCCACATGAGGGGACACCAGGAACATCACCCTGGGGATGTTACTGGGTGAGCCGCAGTGGGAAGAAAAGCAGTCAACAAGCCTCGGGGTTGGGAAAGGGCCACTCTTGTCCAGTGCCCTCCCTACCCCCTGCCCTGGTGCCATCAACCATCTCCTCTCTGGCACTGACCTGGCCCTGAAGGGTGAGGTCACTGCTTTAAAGGTAGCAAGTGAATGTTAGCCTGTGTGCCAGGCCCCATACTCTACCTGTCCCCACACCCATGGGGGACTAAGAGCAGATGGGGTCAGGTTGCTTGGTGCCCGTGTGCCCCTTCAGGCCACCATGCCTGACATCAATCCCAAGATGGCTCCCCATGCTCACCCGCCTTCCTCCAACTTTCACCCATGGCCCAAGCCCTTTCAACTGGCTTTTCCAGTTCCTGGCTTTGTGTGGTGCAAGTTTCCCAATTATGCCTGTGTTATCTCAGTCGATGAGCAGCCTCCAGCAGGCTCAGGCAGTGGAGACTTACCCTGCGGGGAGGATGGAGGGCTCAGCTGCCTGCCAGCCAGCCATCAGCAAGCACGCTGGGCTGTGCGGCCCACTGACCTCATCGTAGGGCTGCTTCTGGGGCAGGAGACAAGCTCGGCTGCTGCCATCAGAAGGTTAAGACCAGGAGGCAGCCCTGAGACTGGGGAGTCCAGGCTGCTGCTCCCGTGAGGAGGAGAAAGACTGAACAGGATCATGCCTAGCCGAGGTCCCACATACTCCTGATTAGGTGCGGCTTCTCCCACCCCTCCTGCCTGACCACAGCATCTCTGCCTGAGAGGTATCCGGTGCTGGCTCTGAAGCACCCACAGACTGGCCCAGGGGACAGCCAGAGTGGTGAAATGGGGACACACCATGGGCCTGATGGGCTGTGTGTATATGACTATCAGGGAATCTCTCAGTGCGGCAGGGGCCTGGCTTGCATGGCCACAGACATTGCTTCAGCAAACATTTCTTAAGCACCTACTGTGTGCCGAGCGCCAGAGATTCCACAGTCAATTGTACCCTCTGGAGTGGGGAGGGTATATCATGACCTTTGCTTTGGAGCCCTCAGAGGAACCCACCCTGCCCCTGCCTCTCTATTATGTAGCCAGAGGAAGTGACCAGTAGTGCAACTTCCCATTGCTGGCCAGGCGTCCTTAGGGGTTTTCTCCCGGTTCTGGCTCAGCACAGGCCCTGGCATTGATGCCACTTAATAAACTGACTGAGTAAAGGACATGCAGCACACAAATATGGGTCAAGGTCACAGCTCATGGATAGCAGCACGCTGGAAGGGGGCAGAGCCTAGGGCTGGGGACGGCTACCCCACATTACAGGGGCTAAGCCAGGTTCCAGGGTAAGTAAACACAAACAGGAGACATTCCAGATGGGATAAAGCAATGGGTATGGGGCAGGGGGATTTATCCCTTTATCCCATGCCACCAGTCACTCCCTCCTTCCTGTACATCTGTCCTCTCTTGGCTTCTGCTGGAGTTTGTCTGGTGAGAAATATCTCCCAGTATCGACCGTACGCCAGGTGCTGGGCTGGGCACTGGAGATACAAGATGGAAAAGACAGACGCTGCCCTGGAGGAGTTCACAGTCAGGTGGAGAAGTCAGATGTGCAGATAGTCAATTCCAAGGCAGAAAGCTGTACCCCAGGTGGCCAGTTACCTCCTGCTGGGTGGGTCAGGGGAGTTCCCCAGAGGAGGCAACCTCAGCAGGTTTTCCCTGGGTGAAGGGGACAGGCCTTCTCGGTGGAGGAAGGTACATGGGTCGGAGTTCAGAAATATTGCGTGGGCAGTCTCTGCTCCTTTGGGGCCAGAATGAACTGCTCACCGATATGACCAAGAGCTGATAATAGATGCTGGCATATGGTCACTCAGCAAACAGTGCTTGAGTAAATAGGAGGAAAGAGAAGGGCACATGGAATCATGCCATGTTTCAAGGACAGGTCTAGGCTACTTGTTTGGAATACTCTGTTCATGGAGCTATGTAGACAAAAGCTGGGTGGTGGAGATGCCAAAGGCCGAGTGAAGGCATTTAGACTTGATTGAAAGGCAACAGGAGTCAGCAGAGACCCGGCCGTGGGCAGCGCCTGAGTCCTGTGTCTGGGTGGAAGGCTGTGAGCCAGAGCATCCTGGGGAACATGAAGCCAGTCGTGAAGGAGGAGAGCACAGTGACAGCCATAATGACGGCCACCACGGGTCCTCACACTTGCCTCCTGTTCCCTGATGTACACGCGTATGCATTGTACCACTTGGTTCTCCTAGCAACCCTATGAACTAGAAAGGACTGGATTGCCCACCCCGTCTAACAGATGAGGGAACCAAGGCCCAGGAAGGTAAAGCAGCCTGTAGGGCCTGGCTGCGGCTCCACTTGGAAAGCAGGGCACTCAGCTCTCATCAAAAATGAGAGAGTTCACATACATTTACTAATAGAGCACACTGGCAGCACATCAGCAGGCACAGAGCAGCATAGGGAGCAATCTCTATGGTCTGATTCTGATTTTGGTAGAAATACCGATGTTTATATGGATATACATATAGACACAGAGAAAAGGCCAAAGAAGATGGGTCCTATGAAATTATTAGTGATATTTCTGAAGATGAGATGTCATTTCCTTCTCGATATTTTTCAATATAGCCCAAAGCGTTTCTATAACAAGTAATTACCAGCTTTGTAATTAAAACATTTAAAAATGAATGACTGATCTGAAAAACCAAAACCAGACAAGAGCACAGGGAGCGCGGTGGGAGGTGCAGAAGGCTCGCCTGTACTGACCACTCCTGTCGTCCCCCCGCCCAGGTGCCCGCACACAGGTGGTACAGGTGAACGACTCCATGTACGGCTTCATCGGCACAGACGTGGTGCTACACTGCAGCTTTGCCAACCCAGTGCCCAGTGTGAAGATCACACAGGTCACATGGCAGAAGTCCACCAACGGCTCCAAGCAGAACGTGGCCATCTACAACCCGGCCATGGGCGTCTCCGTGCTGGCTCCCTACCGCGAGCGCGTGCAGTTCCTGCGGCCATCCTTCACTGATGGCACCATCCGCCTCTCCCGCCTGGAGCTGGAAGATGAGGGCGTTTACATCTGCGAGTTTGCTACCTTCCCTACAGGCAACCGGGAGAGCCAGCTCAATCTCACTGTGATGGGTAAGCTGGCCTGGCCACTCCCTCCCTTCTGTCCAGAGGCCTGGGGCCTGGGGCCTGGCGATCCTTGGTGTGTTCCTCCCTGGCCTCGGACAACCTCCTTGGGTCACCGTGCTTCTGTAGCTCCAGGCTTGGCACTGCCAGTCCCTTCCAGCTAAGCTACCTTGCAAGTCACTGGGATTTGGGTACAGGGCCTTTATTCCACTGAGTAGACGCTCAGCATTCAGGCTGGTGCCCCCACAATGGGACACTTGGAAGTGGCCTGGAAGCAGATAGAGCATCAGACATAGACATCATGGTAAGGACAGGAGGGAACTGCTTGGCGTGACATTCCAGACTCCAAGAAGGCCTGAGTTATTTGCCCGAAGGGGCTACAGATAGTTAGAGCAAGGAGAGAACATTAAAGACAGGAAGATCTTCCCATGAGAAGTTCTAGGAAGGGCTTTGAGGAAGTGTCACTAAGAGACGGGGTGGCCCAACTGGCCTGACAGCTGCTTGTGCAGCTTAACAAAGCAATAGGGCTGATCCCATGGTGCTCTCTGGTTCCCCACAGCCAAACCCACCAATTGGATAGAAGGTACCCAGGCTGTGCTTCAGGCCAAGAAGGGACAGGATGACAAGGTCCTGGTGGCCACCTGCACGTCAGCCAACGGGAAGCCTCCCAGTGTGGTGTCCTGGGAAACGAGGTTAAAAGGTGAAGCTGAGTACCAGGAGATCCGGAACCCCAATGGCACAGTGACAGTCATCAGCCGTTACCGTCTGGTGCCCAGCCGGGAAGCCCACCAGCAGTCCCTTGCCTGCATTGTCAACTACCACATGGACCGCTTCAAGGACAGCCTCACCCTCAACGTGCAGTGTGAGCCAGGGCTGGCGCCAGGGGTGTCAGCTTCCCAGTGCAACTCGTAACCTCTCCCTCCTCCTCTCCTCCTGCCTCCTCTGTGCATCTTCCTGAGGTGTCCCTGTGTGTCCCCCATCCCTTCCCTCTGCTCTTTGTCTTCTTCTTCCTGTTCCCGTTGCATTTCTGCTCCGAGGGTTGAAATGCCACCATCCTGCTCCTCTTCCAACTGCTCCCATGTCACTGCTCCTCCTGTCCCTTCCTCGTCTGGGGCTTCCTTGCCCTCCATCTGGCTGTCCTACTCTCACCTTGTTCAAGCATCATTCCTTGCCCCACAGATGAGCCCGAGGTGACCATCGAGGGCTTTGATGGCAACTGGTACCTGCAGCGGATGGATGTGAAGCTCACATGCAAAGCAGACGCGAACCCTCCAGCCACCGAGTACCACTGGACTACGTAAGTGCTGCTGGGCTGGCTAGCTGCCCAGGAGTGTGCCAGCCCATGCTGGAATGTGCCGACTCACTGGAGCATGGGCCACCCAAACACCCCACCTCCAGGAGCCTTAGGCTGTGAAGACACTAGGGTCTGCACTCAGGTTTCTCAGTGAGAAGTGGGGACCCACAAACACCCTTGTGTGCATTCATAGACATATACCTCTGTATTCGGATCCCAGGGTCAGCTGGACAAAATAGTCTTCTAGAGAGGGCTTGTCCATGGTCTGCTTCCCTTCATCTCACTAATAAAGAATTTTTTCCTTTTCCTTTGGTGATTCAAACTGAGTCACTCCCACCCCAGCCCCAGTATTTATTTTTATCAAGATGTCCCCAGGGAAGCTGGCATTCTAGGGTACCCCAGATCATTCTTCGTTCCTGTTCCTTCTCTCCAGCACCCCCAGGTTCTCAGGGTAGGGCAGGCAGCAGTCAGCCCAGAATGTCCATGCTCGTGGACTATCCATAGGCCCATCGCCCTCTTCTTGGTTTCAGCATTGGGCCTGCCTAGCTCTCAGACAGTCATGTCCCCCTCCAGCCCGTGCTAATGGCCTGAGCCAAGCTTTTTTCCAGAAAGAAAGAGCTGGATAGAACCCACAGAGATAGGAGCATGGGGGAAGCCAGGAAGGCTAACGTGGGTGGCCAGTAGACAGCAGCCCAGAGACAGTCTCTAGCCTTTTTCTAGAAGTAGAGAACTCTGGATGCCCTACCTGCATCTGGAGTTCTTCTGGAGATATAACAGGCAGAACCAGCTTGTACACAGAAAGGCTGCTGGGTTAGCTGAACAGCAGCTTTGTGGTATTAGGGATCAAGAGGAAGGAAGAAGGGCCTCTGTCCTTGATGAACTCCAAGGGGGCTCCTCATGTGTGCAAGCCCTGTGGCATACCCAGAAAGAAGACAGGATTGGAAAAACACAGCCATTCCTGTCTCCCATCAGACTATCTTCTTAGAATACACATGTGTAGATTCTCGCCCAAGTAGCTCTGCCTCAGGAGATCTGGGGACAGGACCCAGATATCTCTACTGTTGCCATATGCCTGGAGACCAAGGACCATGCACAGTAGAAAGGACACTCCTAGAAAGTGTACTTGACCCCGGGTCCAGAGAGAGATCTGGTCAGATGGCCCATTCTACTACTCAGCTGTATTGCCATGACCTTGAACCTCAGATTTCACCTGTGGGCTGGTGCCCACATACTTTTAGGGTGATCAAATATGAAATACTGAGTTAATATACAATTGCCTACACAGGAGATTATTATTGCTGTTATTTTTTCTTCCTTCCAAGGAAAATCCTTCTGCATCCACTTAGCTGAAAGGCTGATGGGCTTGGAGACAGATGGGGGACACAAGGCCAGCTCTTGGGGTGGAAAATCATAACCTTGCACCATATCTCCCAATTCCCACAGGCTGAATGGTTCTCTCCCCAAGGGCGTGGAGCCCCAGAACAGAACCCTCTTCTTCAGGGGGCCTATCACCTACAGCCTGGCAGGGACCTATGTGTGTGAGGCCACCAACCCCATTGGCACCCGCTCAGGCCAGGTGGAAGTCAACATCACAGGTAGGAAGCTGCATCCACCCTGGCCACCCCCACCCTCAGGTTCCTCCACCACCTACGTCCTCCATGTTTGAGTTGTGTTAATACAGGAAGTTTATGGCTTCTTTTCCTGCTTCTCTGGTTTTCCCTGGTTCTCTGACCACTGGTCTTGCTACTCTGTTCTCTTGGCTTTACTTAAGGTTTTATGGGACAATCAGAGTTATCCCCAAATTAAAGAGGGGCAAAAAAAAAAAAAAAGGAGGAAATGCTGTTGGCAGCAGTGCTGTTGTATGGGAGAAGCCTGCCCATGCATCTGCCCGCAGAATCACTGCTGGACGTTGGCATGGCAAGGGCAGTCTTCAGGGGAAACTTAGGAAACCTGTATGGGCCACAGGGCAAGACTCACCTCAAGCAGCGGGTCTGAATGCAGTTCAGAGTCATGGGATTGTGGGATTGTGTGTCCAGCACCCGAACTGCTGTTTCCCTGATCTTTCTCTTTATCGACCCAGATGAGGGGGGCCAGCTGCTTTGCTTCTTGGGGAAAAAGGGAAGAAGGGTAGGGAGATCCTGAGGGAGCTTTCACAGGGCATAAGATCCGGAACAAACCTCATCTGTAAAACAGGGATACTGTGACTTGCCTTGAAAGAAAGGCTGCTGTCAGAATGACCCACAATGTAGGTCACATAACCTGGCACGGATCAGTCTGTCACTAAATGGCCAGTGCTCTGTGATTATGATGTGACCCCTGTCATTATCATTGCTGCTAATGGAAGCATCAAAACAAGTCAATAGAGGAGTAGATTGCCATCAAACTCCACAAAAGGGAGTGAGTGTCTTCAGCATCATACCTGAGCTACTTGCAGGGTGAGAAAGTGACAGAAAAAGGCCCTAGAACAGGAAGGGACATCATTCTGCTGCCACAGTGGGCAGGACATAACACCTTAGAAGGTGCCGAAGGCGTACCGGAAACTGGGTGCAGTTCCTGGGATCCAGACACAGGATTTGATGTCTCTGAGCCTCTGTGCCTCTTCTGTAGTGGCATTCAAGGCACAGCTGCAAAATGATCAGCCAAAGTTGCCCAAGGGGTGCACCTAGCCATCCGCAGGGCTCTTCTGTCATCTCTCACCTCGGAACAAGAAGGTGATGTCACCTGCTATCTTCTTCTATTTCTTATCAGAAATAGAAGTACCAGGGTTGGAGCCTGGGAAAAAATGAGATGTCTCTCCTAGCCTGGGTCTGGGGACTCCCTCAGGTTAGCAAGTAGAAGACAGGGCCACATTTGTGCTTTCTGAAGCAGAGACACATTCAGACAGATCCGGGGCCGTGGGGGGAACAAGGAAGAGCAGGGCCACTCCATGAGAAATTGTCCTAGGGATTGTGACGAGTACTCAGGAGTGACCGTGTGCCCCTGAGCAGGGTTTTCACTTCTCTGAGCCTCCGCTGTCTAATCTGCAATGTGGAGATAATCTCGCTACTTCTTCAGGCTTCTTATGACCCTCAGTACTCTCTGCATGTGACACATTCCCCTCCTGAGGGACTGCCAACGCTGCCACCACATCCCCCTCTACCACCCCAGATCTCTGGGGAAGCTACTGATTGGGAAATCGTGAGGAAGCCAGGAACCCAACAACAGTGTCCTCCCACTGACCCTACTCCCCAGCATGAGCGGCCGAGCCACTGAGCTAAGTAGTGTTCCCAGGCCCACAGGAAGGGCGAGCGGGAGAGTCCCAAGCTGCCTTCTCCCAAAGCCCAGGGATAAGCAGGAGCCCGTGAGTGCAGCGCTTCTCCCCGGGAAGGAAGTGGGGAGGAGGGTAGGGAAAGGGAGAGCCCACTGCAAGACTGCTGTCCAGCCTTCCGGTTCCTGCTGTGGCATCAGCAGTCAGGCCTGTGATCAGGCCTGCGGAGGTCATTGCACTAGAGGGCAGATGGGCCAGGGCCACCCAGGACTGCATCTGGAAGAGGAATGTAACATGACTCTGCTGCTGACAGCCTGCTAGGCAGGAGCCAGGGAAGCATCGTGCTCCCTGCATTGGGGATAGGTCCCTGCGCTCTTCACCAGCCCCCTCACAGGACTCAACCAGGAGCCCAGGACTGTTTATTTTGCTCTCACAATTTGCAAGGAGCAGATGACCTCACCCCCAGAAACCCACAACAACCACTGACCTCCACTTGGTGGGCGGGAGTAGGCAGCCTTGCAGGAGGGCACCATCCTGCCCTATGCTCCAAGCCCCACTGGCCTGGAGGGAATGCATGAGTGAGAAGGATAAATGGAAATTTAATTTTTCATTCTGGCCATCCGTTCAGGTAATAGCTTTGCCCTGGGCACATCTGGAGAGGAGAATGAAGAAAAGCTGGGCTGAGGCAGGAAGCTGGCCATGCGGGGTGCATACAGAGTCACGTGTGTGCGAGTGCTTGTGCACCAGGCTAGAGAGAGGACGTCAGGGCGTCCACGACAGGGGTGCAAGGAAGGCAAATGGCTGCAGTGAGTGGACGGGGTGATGCGCACTGAGGGGCTCACAGGGAGACAGTGTAATGGCCCAGGGACACCATTTAGGGGTGTCACAGAGAATAACTCTAGTCAAAACAATACGCTGGGCTCTGGCTGTGAGGATGGGAGAAGGCAGATAAACCCAAGGCAACCGGGTTTGTTTACACAAAGCCCAATTCAGAGGCCCTTGTACTGAGGAACAGTTGATGGAGTTAGCCCAGTATCACACCTCAGGCCACCAAAAGAGCACCCCTCCTTTCCTCCTCCTGGGGTGACCCTAAGGTGAGGAGAGGTCCAAGATATGGCCTTGACTAGTCAAAAGAGACCAAGTGGGCAGCATCTACCTCTACAGCTATTGGGAGTGTAGCTGGGCCTCTTGCCACCACCACCACCCCGTACAGGGCAGGGAAGCCACCAGGGTGCATGGTGTCTGCCCCAACTCTCACATTCAATGAAGTCTGGGCTCATCCCGTGGGGCTGCAGTACCAGGTCAGGGGCCTTCTGGTCCAGGCAGGCCTCCAAGGCCAGGGTCTCTCTGCCTAGGCATGGGTACAAATATGTGCCTCTGTGAGTGTGCAGATGTGAGCCGGTGTGAGCAGGCCAGCCACGATGCACGTGCTGAGTGTGCAAACAGGAGCCATGTTCATGCCATAAGCAAATGTCCCCTTCTTCAAGCTGGCAAACAGCACATGGTCCAGCAGTCTGAGAATGCAGCTGCATCCGTGCCTCTCAGAGGATCCGGTCCCCCTCAGCTTGCCGAAGCCCTGTCTGATGGCCTGACACAATGCACAGCTGTTGCAGCTGCAGGGCTTCCCAGCGTGTGACCTCACGCTGCCCCTCTCACTGTGGCCAGCTGTGCATGCTGGGAGATGTAGTTCTCATAGCCTCTCAGCCTATTCTGATGCGGGAACATTTCCTGCCTGAGGAAGCATCAGGCACTGGCTTTGGAAGCAAGCCCAAAAATTTTCTTGACTCCACACCTCCTCCAGGTCCAAGATCCAGAAGCTGTTTTTTGGTTTGGGTCCGCTCCCCACCCCAATACCAGGGATTGAACTCATAGCTTCACACTAGCTATATTCCCACACTTTTTAATTTTTCAGAGACTAGATCTTGCTAAGTTGCTTGGGTTGACCTTAAACTTACAATCCTCCTGTCTCAGCCTTTCAGTTAACTGAGATTACAGGCTTGCACCCCCACATCTTGCCCTAGAGCCACATTTTAGACCCTAACTTCATTGTACTTCAAATCCACCCAAACCCTTTCAAACTCGCCCCCCTACCTCTGCCAGGGAATCAGGGGCCCAAATGAATGCAAAGCCCCATGCCCTGTGGTCCTGGCCAGCCTGGGATCCCAGAGGGGAGGCTGCAGAGCCCAGCTTCTCCTTTGTAAGAGGATGCGAGGGAGGCTGGCTGAGTCCCTGCCAGCGAGCACAAATGACCCCAGTGCTGGCTCTCCTCTCTCCTCCCAGCTGCGGCCCTTGCGGCTCTGCTCCTGGCACAGAGACAGGAGCTACTGGCTGAATGTGACAGCTGGAGGGGCAGAGGGGGAGGGGAAGGATGCTCTGCTCCACACCAAACAGCTCCTTCTGCCTGCACATGAATTGGGGCCCCACGCCTGCTCTTCACCTGGCACCTTCACTTTGAACTCTGCAGCCCTGGGAGTCATCTTAGCCACTCTTCGGCCTCTGCAGAGCTGGCCCTTAAATAACCAAAATAACTAGGGGACTCCCTTTGGGTCCCAAAAGATTTCCCAGGGAAGAATGAACTTCTGTAGAATATGGGGTGGGGGGAGAGTTAAGCCCAGGGCCTAAAGGGGAAAAAAAGGCAGTATAATCTAGCCTCAGATACCCTCCTGTCCTCCCATGCCACACTCCAGTGAAGTGAGGTCCCCAGTGGGTGCCGTCCCTGGTTTGAGTGTCTCCTGAATACTTGCTTTGCCTAGAGCCAGGCTCATCTCTAAACATAACCTTGCCATGAGAGAATTCACTCATTCAACAAATATGTCTTGAACCTCAGCTACATGCCAGGCAATCTAGCACTTGGGTTACCTCGGTAAGCAAAACTTACCCAAGTCCCCAAGCTTGTGAAGCTTTGTAATAATTCTGAAAGTAGAAAAAATAAAAGAATCAAGTAAGGAGATGATAAATGTTACAGGCTGGATGAGGTTCATATGTTACAATTTTAGATAGAATTATTCCCGAAAGATCTCATGAGAAAGTGAAATTTGAGCCAGGCAGATGATGTTATAAACTGGGAGGTCCCTGCAGAAGAGCTCTCCAGGGTGAGGGCAGCCGATGCAAAAGCCCTGTGCATGGAAAGTGCTGGGAATGGGGTGAGCCTGAAATAAAACAGGAAATTGGGGTGGAGCACAGATCACAGAGAGAATTCTAGCACGCTAACCTCTGACGATTTGGGCGAAGACCTCTGGGCAAAGAAGTGATCTGATGTAGCTTACACCTTACTAGGATGGTTCTGGCTACCCTGAAAGTCTGCAGAGGGAGAAGGTGGGATCAGAATGGCAGTTAGGTAGCTATTGTAATAAATTACCCATGCAAGAGACAATGGTGTCTTGATCAGAGTGGTCCTAATGGGGACCATAAGAAGTGTTTGGATTCTCAATGCACTTTGAATTATAATTTACAAACTAGTTTTGAGACACCAACCATTGTCATGAGACAGAAAATATAGTAAACTCCACCATCTTGTAATTACTTGGGTCGAACAATTCGATCTAGTCACGTAAAATATGGAAGCTTTATTTTTCATTGGGCCTATCAAAGAAAACATAAAAATACTTCTGAGGACCTTGATGCTGTACACAACTAATGTACAAAAATGGTCAATACCGGACCAGGAGGGTGTCACATCCGGCAAACCTGTACCTTGTTCTAGCAAAAGAGAACAACTTGAGTTATTTGGAAATTGGCAAAATAAGCAGAGCCAATGGTGGTTCAATCCTAGTTTGCATCTATTTATAATCCATAGATTAATTTGTGATTAATGAAACGGGATTAGCAGTTGTTCAAAGCAGCATGAGAGGTGCAGACCCATTAGACAAAAAGTAAAGTAGAAGCCAGAGAATAAAAGCTGGGTGAAGAAGCGACCCTGGGATCACAGTAGGCAGGGAGTGGCAGGGGAAGACTTGCAGGAAGGAACCCTCCTGTAGGCAAGGATGGTGTGATAGTTGGCTTTCAGTTACTGTAACAAACTACCTGAGATGACTTAAAAAGAGCCAAAGTTTAGTTTCCAGAAGTTCTAGTCCATGGTCAGTTAGCCTACTGTTTTGGGGCCTCAGGCAAGGCAGTATAGCATGAAGAGTGTGTGGCAGGGCAAGTTACTCACCCGGCAGCCAAGAAGCAAAAAGAGACAAGAGACCAGGGTCTCAATATGTCCCTCAAGAACAAAATCCCAATAACCTAAGTGCCCGCCACTAGGCAGCACTTCTGAAGCCCCTGCCACCTTGCAACAGTGCTACAAGCTGGAAACCAAGACTTCTGCACATGAGCCCTGTAGGACAGTTGTTCAAATGGCAAGGAAGCCAAGCCAGTCAATCCCAGAATGAAATTGCATGATGAAATCTTGAAGGGCTGACTCAATGGCAGTAGTAGGAGATTTATTGCTGGTCTTGGAAGGGAGTGCTCACATTCATAAAGTGAAAATTAACCTGGTGTCCATGGAAGAAGCAATTTAAGGGAGCAGGGGCTCAGGTGAAGGTGGGAGACCCAGGTCGTACAACAGGAAAACCTGGAATGGAATGAGGATGGGAAGAATCAGCAAGATTTGAAGGCAGATTTTGACCCAGATGATGAAGAAGGAAGAGTCAACGATGAATGAGATTCTGAGCAGAAAGAACAGACAGAGGACCAGGGGGGTTGTGCTAGGCAGCGAAGACAACTATGCTGGAAAACATGAGTTTGAGTTGGTCTTAAAGATTCCAAGTAAGGATGTCCCCAGGGGCAGTTTGTCAAGTGTGTACCCCTAATAAGTGAGTCCTTCCCATGCCAGGAAGTTAGGGAACACTCCATCCTGTATGTCCCTCTTACAGTTCAATGCACGTGAGAATAAGAAAGGCTCTGATGTATAAGCCAGTGGTACTGATGGTGTTTGACCCTAGCATTTTTTCTGAACCTCTGAGACAATGGTTTGAGGTTCCCTGGGCCATAGTTTGGGAAATCCTGTCCTCAGAGGCCTAGAAAGATAAAAGTTCTGGAGTTGGGTGAAACCTATGCCCCTGAAATGATTTGGGAGAGCCGGAAGAACAAAGGTAAAAACCATGAAACCAAGACCAGATCTGTCACTGGGAAAGAAAACAAGGCAAAGGCCAAAGGGCCGTGGACAGAGGCTCTGGTGAGACGGTGGGAGCAGAGAAAAGGCCCAGCAACGCAGTCGAAGAGGGGAGCCAAGGACCAAGGCGTCCCCAGACTGGCACATTTCAGAAACAACAGGCAGCTGGAGGCCTCGCTCCTTCTCTTGGTCTCCTAAGACGGCACTGTCCTTCAGAAGATGCCTTTTCCAACCTCATAGCACAGCGTCCTTGCTCCTTACACCCCTAAGCCTTCCCCTAAGTTCCCCTGATACCCTCATGCTCTAAGCATGTCTTCTGGTTCTCTAGCGAGGTTGGATTTCTGACATCCTGTAGCTCGGGAGACTGAGGATGTGTTTGCTAATTGCATGGAGGAGTAGAGAGATGAGGGCAGGGAGACAGAGACCACCTCGATCTGGTGAGAACTGAAAAAGGAGCCAGCAGGTTGAAAGTATGCATGACATAAAGTTCGTCTCTGCTGCCCCAGGACACTTCCTGTGGAGCTGACAGCCATCTCAAGATCAGTGCCGGGATATTTTAAGGGCAGTAAACAGATGGACCTGGTATGCTAAAAGGAGCCCGAGATTCCAGGAAACTGTCCCAGAGATAGGCAGTCGGGACAGACATGCAGTAAACTATTCATGTGCAGCTCCTCACTGAGCTGCCCTGAGGACAGTGGTGACAAGTGAGGAACCCAGTCCTTCCATCAGCTCTAGGCACAGCAGTATCTGAGTGGCCCCAGCTCAGCCACGTGACCTGGGGCAAATAACCTCCCCTTCTCTGGGCCCCATGTTTCCCTGAGCAAGAAGGCCTTTCCCCTTCCCAGAATCTCCACCCTCGGGGCAGCACCAAAGTCAGGCTCCAGCCACCCCACCCAGGGGAGGGGGCTCTCCATTCCGATGCCGTGAGTGATGCTGAATCAGGAATGAGCCGGCTGCAGCAGACTCCCAAGGACTGCACCCTAAGCCTGGACCGACCCTTCACTGTAGCCTGCAGAGAGGAGGAGAGCCGCCCCGTCAGCCTCCTGGCCTGCCCTGGGCCTGCCATGGTCTCGGGTGCCACCCTGTGGTGGTGCTGGGAACCGCCTCACCCTGGGACCTCTGGCCTCTGGCCTGACCTGACTTCATGCATCTTTCCAAGCCCTGCAAGATGCTGGGCTCCATGGCACAGAGCAGAACAATACCGTGGCCTGGCTCAGAAGCCGGCAGACCATTCTCCCTTTCTGCCCCCTTCTGTTCTCTTCTTTTCCCCTTTACTCCTCCCCATCTCCAGTGTCCCAAATACACACATGGTCACACCAGGGTGTGTGCACGTGCTTGCTCCTGTGTACCGATCTTCGCTGCACACACATGCGCCTCTGTTCCCATTTCTGTCTGGCCCTGTACTCTGCCAGGCCCCACGGGACCTGACCACAGATAAGAGCCACAGACAGCCCTGGTTCCTGGCACTCTGTTGGCTGCTTGGCACTCACAGGACATGTACCAGCCAGAGTTTGGGAACTCATTTTCCCTGTGCCCTGGGGCCAGATGCAGAACACCTGGTCTGCTCCAGGCTCTGAGTCCCTGTAATCAAGAGGAAAATGTTGTGGCTCAGCTTTGTGTGGGGCAGGAAGGATATTGGTAACTGGTACAGGGGTACCAGTATCCCTGTATCATCAGCTGGGCGGCCGTGGGCAAGTTACCTCCTGAAACCGTTTCCCCTGGTGTGCTGAACAGAAATGAACAGCATTCCTACCTCCGGGTGGTGACAGTGAATGACACCTAGGAGATCCCCACCTATGCTAGGGTGCAGGGGGCCCCTCCACACCAAGAGCTAGTGTTAGGGCTGGCGGGTGGGGCGCCACCTCCAAGAATGGTCAGGATGGAAGACCCAGTGGCCTCTTCTGCCTCTCCTCTTGCCTGTCTGAGTCCAGCTACCAACTCTGCAGCAGCTTGTGCTCTGGGAGGGGAGGGGTGTGGATTTCCTAGCCCAGCCTTTCCTCCCCTGCCTCCCTCCCTCCCCCCTCGCCCCTGCTGATGCCCAAGGAGCAGACGCTGACACTGTCCCCTCCTCTCTTTTCCTTACCCAGAGTTCCCCTACACCCCGTCTCCTCCCGAACACGGGCGGCGCGCTGGGCCGGTGCCCACGGCCATCATTGGGGGCGTGGCGGGGAGCGTCCTGCTGGTCCTGATCGTGGTAGGCGCCATCGTGGTGGCCCTGCGCCGGCGCCGGCACACCTTCAAGGGCGACTACAGCACCAAGAAGCACGTGTACGGCAACGGCTACAGCAAGGCTGGCATCCCTCAGCACCACCCGCCCATGGCGCAGAACCTGCAGTACCCCGATGACTCGGACGACGAGAAGAAGGCCGGCCCGCTGGGCGGGAGCAGCTATGAGGAGGAGGAGGAGGAAGACGGTGGGGGGGACCGCAAGGTGGGCGCCCCCCACCCCAAATACGATGAGGACGCCAAGCGGCCGCCCTACTTCACAGTGGATGAGGCCGAGGCCCGTCAGGACGGCTACGGAGACCGGACTCTGGGCTACCAGTACGACCCCGAGCAGCTGGACTTGGCTGAGAACATGGTTTCTCAGAACGACGGGTCTTTCATTTCTAAGAAGGAGTGGTACGTGTAGCCCCACTCTGGGGCCTCTGTCTGTGCCCACATCTCCCTGCCCCTACCCGCACGACCCCTTCCTGCCCCACTGCCGGCTCCTCCAGAAGCTGGACAGAGACTCACCCCCTGCCCAAAGCCAGCCCTGAACCCCCGGAAGCCAGGCGAGCACAGGGCAGCCCCGATTTGACTGTTTTTATTTCCTCCCTGCCCGGCCCTGCCCTATGGTGTTGTGTTCCACTGTGGCTTTGGTGTCGCTGTACCTTTCTCCACTGACCCCACCCGCTGCCCTCTGTGTAGGGAGCCCTGTTCTTGTCTTGTGTACCTGGGGCGTCCCTCCAGGGTTTGGGGAGCCAGCCCTCCCCGGCCCCCCAACACTGGAATTTGTTTGTGTTCCCTTTGTTGGGGGTGGAGCGCTAAGGGGCTCCGAGAAGAGCCTCCCACTCCCGCCACCCAATGCTGCTCCTCTTCCCAAGGAGAGGGAACCCAGCACCCCCACTATAAGCTGAAGCAGCTGGGGTTGGGGCCTCAGTCTAGACAGCTGGTGCAACTGAGAGGTAGGGGGTGAGGTGACTTCTCCAGGGCACCCAGGGGAGACTGGTTTGTGAGTGATTCTGTTGAGGTCCCCACCTGGAGCCTGGGCAGTGTGCTTTCCTGGCGAAGGTGGTTTTGGATTTTTCTCCTCATTGGTTTACAGAGTCAACTGACCCAGCCCTGGTGCCTCCCTCCCCTTTCCCCAGTCTGCTGCCCACATAGGGGAGGACCCCAGGTGGACTGCCCACACTTCCCCTATGCCTCTGCCCACGCGTGTACACATGTACAGGCACACACGCCTTTCGGCTGACACCTGCTCTCCTCCAGAGATCACACACCCTGACCAGGCTGGACTCTGCCCAAGGCCTGTCCCTCTCTGTTCCACCTCTGTCCCCCTTCCCACCTAAGGATGGGAGCAGCCTGTGGAAACTTCCAGGGACAGTAGGATGGAGTCTCCTTGATGCCACTACTCTAGGGTTTCAGGCAGGCCTGACCTGTCCTTACAGCGTGGAAGTTTCTCAGATTTCTCCCTCTTTGGTCAAGTGCTAGCAACACTTGATTCTCTTGGAAAGTCAGGGCTGGGATCCCAGAAGTACCTCCAGGAGTCAGTGGCGAAAAGAAGTATTTATGTGGGGAAGGGATTCTGCGTGGGAGAAGCTCTGGTAGAGACAGGGACACAGCAAGCACCTGGCACATGAAGGCCAGCTTAGAAGCCAAGGGCCTCACAAAAAATGCGAGGGCAGTGGTGGAGCAGGGGAGCCCACTGCTCCTCACTCCACACCTGGCACCTGCTCTGGGGTACGAGTAGAGTCCCTGCTTGAGCGGGCCTCTGGGTTCCTCTCGGTCATCCAGGACAGGGCCTTCCACAGATACGGTGGAGGAAGGCCCCTCCCAGCCCTCTCCATCTCCCAGCTCCAAGTGCCTCAGTTCCTCCATCTGCCCCCCAGGGCCCCTGGCCCTCCAGAAGACATACCCTTGGGAAGGACCCTGGGATAACAAGGGTGGGCTCCAAGAGCCCTTTGGCCAGCCTCTTGGGATCTCGGCTCCCTCAGCCCAGGTGTCACGCTCTGTAGGATGGCGAGTGTTGGGGGGAGGGAGGCAGACTACTCTGTGCCCCACGGGCACTGACCCATCCTGCCATAGGCTTCCTAAGGGAGCCCCAGCCCCCACCTACCCCCTCCCTGGTGCTGCTATTGAACCCCAGCCAGAGCTCCATCTCTGCCCTGGCATGGGCCCAGCAGCTGGGCCACTTTCACCAACCCTCACTGCCCTGACCCCAGCCCAGGCCGCCCAGTAGCCACGTAGCAGAAGTCTGAAGCCATGCCAGCCCTGGGGCGGCGCTCCCCTCTCAGCACTGGGGGCCCCAGATGAGGTGGAGTTGGTGAGAAAATTCTAGGATGGTGTTAGCCACAGGACAGAGGGAAGTGGAGGAGCTGGGCTGCTTCTCCCACAGTATTAGTGTCCCCTAGGGCAGGGGACCTTTCCCATGTTACAGTACTGTCCCATCCCTCCTCCTCGTGCCAGTCTGGCCTCTTTGCTTGGTTCTTTTGCTCCCAGGTGGGAAGCAAGCCAAGGGGTCTGCCTGATAGAGGTATTTTCTGTCTCTGTGGAATCCCAAGACAGAAAGAACATGTCCTCCTGCGTCTCCCCTGCACTGCCACCCACTGTTCCTCATTTTGTGACAGACCGAGGAGGCTATGGACCCAGCCAAAACACTTAGTCCCCACCTCCGCGCCTTTCGGCAAAGCAAAGCACAAATCGTGGGGTCCACGCAGCGTGGTCAGGAGCCCAGCCACAGCATCCACACCGTGCAGCTTCTCCCCGGGTGGAGAGTGGGCGTGAGGCAGGGCTCAGCCCGTGGCTGGAGGGATGGGGCTTTCTGGGTCCCACATTTGTGGGACATTGGGCACTGATGCTGGGCGAGAGACATAGTTAGCAAAGGGAGGCCCAGCCCAGCTGGGAGATGAGGACATATTCTTCTCCTTCGTGCCCCCAGCATGAGCTGAGCCGCTTTGCTGAAAATAAAATAAACTTGGTATTCATCATGCCAAGGCCTCCCCAGGTGTCATCTCGCCTCTTGTTGCTCTCCCTGTCCTTGCAGTCTCCCCCTATACCCGTGTCCCCTTGCAGATTTTGGTATTGTTCTAATGTGCAGCAACCACCCAAGCCCCCTTTTACCAGAGGATCTGAAAAGCAGCAGCACAGAATCTGAACACAAGGCTGCAAATGCAGCCAACTCAGGCCCAGCACACATGCACACAGTGTGCACACACGCCCCTCACAGATCCAAGCACTGGTGTGTGTGTGCATGTGTGCACACTCATGCCCAGATGGGCGCTCAGCACAGACAGGCAGACATGGCAGAGGAACTGGTATATCCCACTGGAAGCTTTTACGGACAAGCAGTGGTTTCCCCGTGCTCAGGCCTGAAAGAGACCCACGGGGGCCCTGGTCCTGAGCACGTGCCCCCTCCACCAGCTCCCCGGGTGCCCCAGTCACCTTCCAAGAACTTTTCTGCCATCCTCAAGGCAGAAGAATTGGGACTCATGTCAGGTGGATGCAGGAAGCCGACGGAGCCCTGCAGACTCTGGCGTTCCTCTCCTAGGAAGAGCGGGTGCTCCCAGGCCCCTAGGGATCCAGGCAAAGACCTAACTGCCAACAGCAACCCTGTCCTGCCAAGGGGCAGGAGAGATGCCCAGGAGGCCAGGCTCCAGGCCATGCTGCTCTCACCATTGCTGCTGCTCTTCTGACCCTGCTATGAGGAATGGGCTTGGTCAGGAAAAATGGCTTTCCTTTTTTTTTGTACAAATGGAAACAAAATCCAGGAGAAGCTGCCACCCTCACCTCTGAGTGTGACTCGCTTCCTTTGCTTCAGTTCTTCGTCACCGTTTTCGTCTTTGGTCCTGGGGACAGCCCAGAATTCTCCTGGTTCTGACCTAAGGGGTGTTTGGATCACCTCCTTTTACTTGTATAAAATAAAAGATGGATTGAAAAATGTACTGAGGAAGAAAAATGTACTTTTTTATAAATAAAGTGTTTAACACAAACCTATTTGCCTTGTGTCACTGCAGCAGGGCAGGGATAGAGGTAAAGTTAGAGAAGGTGGCATGGCAAGAGAGTGGGGGAGAAAAGGGGACCCCCGCCCCATGCTCACAACCCGTATCCTGTGACAGGGTCCCCAAGGAGAAGGCACCTAGGCCTTGGTGGAACTGACTCCCACACAGGAGGAAGACCTTGGAGGGAGGAGCTTGGCCTGGGGAGGGACGGTGTCTGCCAGCACAGTGGGGACCTTGCAGAGGGGGCCTGAGAAACCTTTAAGGAGAAGCAGTGCTTCCTGGTGCCACACTGGCTGTCCCCAGAGCCCCTGAGCTCCACTCACCTGCCTCACCCCTCCTGTCTCCACTCCCTGCTGTCCTCCTCCCTGCCAAGTCCCCTCCTTTGGCCCTCTGGAGAAGAAAACCAGCAGCGTCACACCTGCTGTGTGAGACAGATCCCCAGGGAGCTGTGTCCTTTCATCTACTCTGAAGATGCTATGCGACCCAGCTCCCCCAAACCCAGTTGCTACCCCCACCCCCCATTTCTCTCCATGGGGCTGGCCACCTCCTCCTCCCCACACCAGCACCATCTGCTTCCCATCTCCTGGCCTGGAATGCAGGACAAATCAATCCTAGGGATGGGAAAGACAGGGCCTTCAGGGCTCCTCCATCCAGCCCTCCAGCCCCGCTAGCGTCTCCTTTCACTGAAATCCACACCACAGGCCCCTGGAAGAGGGAGGAGGCTCAGTAGAAAGATAGCTGCTAAGCGGAAAGCCCTCCTGCCTTTTGTGGGCAAGGCCATGTCCTTCCACACCTAGGAGTGGGGCACCACGGACAGACAGAATCGCGCACGGAGGAGAACCAGCAGCTGTTGGCAGCTGGCTAAACCCCTCACTGGAAGGCCAAACCCAGCACCCTGGACAGGGCTGTTTAAATGTTGATATTCGAATGAGATGCAAATTGGTTGTTTAAGCGGTCACTTCCTCACTTTTCCAGCCTGTCCATTTAAGTTAATTTTTAATTTGTGCAGGCAATAAATGCTTAATTACATTATTAATATATTGGAAGAGAGCGGTGGACAGAATGTCCTAATTGGCATTTAACTAGAGCATTCCGGCAAATTAGCCAAGACTTTCTGCGGCTGCCCGGAAGAAGGGTGAGCCAATTAGTCTCCGGCACGGCCTCTACAGGCAGAGCTTCCTTTGGAAAAGCCAGGCCCAGTCCCTCCCCCAAGCCTCAATGCCCAGATACCAGGCGCCCCTTGCAGACACCCCAGACTGAGGACACCAGGCATCTGAGACCACACTTCCAGATTTTGGACAAACTTTCACCACTTCATAAAGGCTCTCCTGCTGCTAACCCCAGCCATTGTCCTAGTTCTGGCACCTCCACTCAGTAAAGCAGAGGCCCCAAAGCTGGATGGCCTGGAAGCAGCCCCTGCCTGAGTAGCTAAGGTTCCCGTGGGATGTGCCCACCTGCATTTGCCCTATGCTGACCCTTGGGCCTGGAGCTTGGGTACCTGGCATCTCCTCTCTGGAAACCATGGAGACCTCTTCGAACTCCCTACCTACCTGCTCCTGGCTGCAGATCATTAGAGGGATGAATGAACTGAGGGGTTCATTTATTCACTCACAGATCCTTTCATTTAGATCACATTTTTTTTGATCACCCTGAGCCAAGCACTGTGCTCTAATAATCCCTTCTCAGAGAATTCAGAGATCCCGGGTTGCCGGATTCCACAACAGCCAATATGTGCTGGCTACTGGCTATACCAAAACCATGTGTAAAGCAATGTCGTAGCACAGGACAGGGCCTGATAATTTTGTTTGAGAGGATCTGAGATGACATTAACCTGGGTCTGGGAGGATATGGAGGAGTTCTCCAGAGAGATGTAGGCTGAGAGAAGTCCAGGCAGACATGAGAATTTTGTGTCTTGCATTACTTGTTCTTAAAGTGACCATCCTAGCCCAACATACTCGTGCTGCACATGGAGAGGTGAAGGGTAGAGAAACTAAGGCTTGGCCCATCCACATAACCAGAAAGCATACACTGTGCATGCTCAAGGGCAAGGCCATGTCTCAAAAGCAGTACAAGGCCAGAGGAACCCCAGGGATGGGTGGCAGCCTAACTCCTAGGGCAGTCAGAGGTACTAGTTATGGCGCAAGTTTCTGCTTCCCAACAAAGCAGCCCCCAGTGGGATAGAGACTGGGCTAGTAGGAATGACATTTGGTGTTAAACAGGAAACCATTCCTCGGCTCAGGCTCATCGACAAAGGCTTCCTGGAAAAGATGGCATCTGAGATGATTTGAAAGCATGGGAAGGATGTGGATATTGGGGTAGCGGGAGGAGAAGAGGCCCCTGATGGCTTGAAAGGGAAGTCCTGCTTCTAGAACACCTGCACACTTGCTGCCCCGGCCAGGAGCTTCTGGGCAACAGTCCTTGGGCTCTGCTTTGCTGGGTGCTTCTGAGGTTCCCAAACCCTATTTGCTTTCTTCATTTATAGGCTTGATGACAGAGCCCCCCAAGTCCTCTGGTAAGGGGATCTGGTGAGTTAAACACATGGATTTGAGTGCTAAATATGCTATTTATTGTTGTCATCTTTGGTCACCTTCATCTTGTTCACCTCTAAGACTTGGAATCCTGGATGAAAGAGACTTCAGTGGAGGCCACCACTTAGGGAAAAATAGGGGCCAGGTGGGAGTCACAGCTATGAACCAAGAGCAGCAGATTTTCTGGTTCTGCTCCCAGGCACTGGGCATCTGCCAGAAGAAAGAGCAGAATTCTGAGTGTAAAGTCCAAGAGGGAGGTTCAGTCGGTCCTTCCTGAAATAAGTAAAGGTGCTTCCTGAGAGGGGACAGTTCTACGATGGCCCTGGTAGGCAGATGGGAGAGGACCCTCGGAGAGGCCTAGGGGGTAACAGGGAATATGCCTTTTAAACCCTTCTGCCGAAGACTGGCCCCGATTGTCCCCAGAGAGCCTATTCCAGTGATTGAAGACCTTTTGAGGCTGGTTGCCTCAGTTCTGGTTGGGGTCCCTCAATTGAAAGAGCCAGCTCTTTTTTATTTTATATACTCTCAGGACCCTCACCTCTGCAGGAGCCCCCCACATCCTCCAGCAATGAATAGCACCATGCAGGCTGCCTCCTTCACTAGACTGTAGCCTGAGAGCTGGGGCCATGGCTTATTCATCCCCAGCACCCAACCCAGAGCAGGTACACAGTGGACACTCAGTAGAGTTGGGGCCAAACTAAATTTATCAACATCAGAGTCAAGAGAGACATTTCAGAAGGAGAAGGTGCAGCCCCACAGCAGGACTGCCCTTGACCACCCATGTGCCTCTGGCGACAGCACCTTTTAGTGTTTGGAGGATCCCTGCACCTCAGGGCTATTCTTCCCTGCAAACAAAATGTCTCTGACCCAGGTCTCATTCACTTGTCTGGGTATTTCTCTGTGAGGCCACACAGAATAACATAGCCTGGCCTCCCAAAACAGCCCTGCGGGAGATGGCAGCTCCTTGCCCAGACACTTGTCTATATATCTAGCCCTGCTTGGCAGTCATGGGGCCTCATGGAGCCCAGCTGTCAGGAGCCTATGTTTGGGGGTCAGACGAGCCTGGTTCAGGCCTTGGTGCAGTTGGACAGTAGTCACAGGAAAGCAGGATCTCAAAGCAGGTGCTCAGCACAACCTTGTACAAACCCAGGTACTTGCGGCCTGCAGGTGAAATGTGTTGGTGAAGCTTCTTGGATCATAACAAATGTACCGTTCTGGCGTGGAAGCATTGATGGTGGGGGAGGCTGTTTGTACGTGAGGGCAGGGATTCTCTAGGAAATCCCTTTACTTTTCACTCAATCTTGCTGCGAACCTAAATTACTCTAAGAAGTGAAATCTATTTTTTTCAAAGTTCTAGTTGTTTTGAGTATTCCCGAAAAAAAGGACTATCGTTTCCCTCTCATTTCAATGAATGAGACATAAAATATTGTACCCTGAAACTGATCTAGTCAGTGGGGAATAGGGGATAGGGGAGAGGGAGATTATCCATGGGCCCTCCCGGAATCTGGCCTCCCACCCCTATATGGCTCTCTAGCCAACATCATGATGTTGCCATGGATACAGAGGTGGCTACATTTCAGAGTAGATGGGGATGGATGGGTGGATGGATGGACAGGCCTTTGGATGGGCAAATAAACCTCTCCTGTGTGCTTCTGCAAAATGTGATGACTTTCATCTATCTCTGGGGATTGGCTCAGCACTCCAGTCTGTGACAATGCTTTTGGATGCTGATTCTATCAGTTCAGTGTACCACAGACATGTCCTGAAAACACACTAAAAGGAAAAAGACAGGATTGTAGAGTCAAACTGACCATGCGTGATTCGGCCCCTAGTCCACCACTCAGCAGCTATGTGGATGTTGGATAAATTGATTCCCTTCCCTGAACTTTATTTTTGAATCCATGTAAATAGACTGCTGGGATGAATAAAGATGGCTTTTATGGAGAGTTAGTTATTCGTAAAGCAGATAAGAATGGTATCTACCACAGGTGGCTTCTGGAAGGATTAAAAGAAAATAATCTTCTAAAGTGCACAGCACAATGCCTGGAACAGGTTGGGTGCTAATCAATTTTAGTTAGGGTAGTATTATTTCTCATTGTAATTTTCACTACTCTGTGTCTGCCCTAAACAGGGAAACAGAACCTGTCAGGGAAACAGCACCAGATATTAGGACACTTGCCAAGTCCTAGCTGCTTCCTGCTCAGCTCCATCCTGACTAGGTGGGGACCAACATCCTCTTAGCTTTTATCCTCCCTAATCTGCATCATCTCAAAAACGACTCACCAGCTGGTTGGAGGGATGCAGGCATGGTGGATAGCGCCTGGTCGGAAGCCCCATGCTGCGCTACAGTTACACATAGGTAACTGGGCCAGCTGCAAGAATGTGAGACCATTTTTATTTCAAATCAATGACTTCTAGCGCATCCTCCAGTTTCACCTGTAGAAATGTCTCAGGATCTCAGGG